GGTCTTCCGTGAAGACGGAAGACCCTAATAATAAGAAACAGAGTAAAAACAATATGTTCCCAAACTTCATTTGGGGAACATAATAATTATATATGTCAGAAATCTAGAAAATACATGCAAGTACTTTTCCTAAAATCCGGTTGGCTAAGGTTGTTAGTATTTTAAATGTTTTTAATTGTTAATGAAAGAAGATGAAATTCAGAGTATATATAAATATGAGGACATGTATGCACGTGTGCTGATATCTGATTAATATTCATGTTGCAGTAACTTACTATGAATATTTTTGAAATTTAAATTGGAGCTTTTTATTATGGCATTCTATTAGATTTTGTACAAGTCATGAATATGGTAATTTTGGAAATCATGTGCTTGCCCGTGTACTTAAATCTGATTTTCTTATGCTCACTGTGCTCTATTTACATTGTTATTTCTTTAAAATACTTTTGAGAATAAGTTGGTAAAGACTAAAATACAAAGGTTTTGGTTAATTTGTTGAAGCATATAGGCCTCAAAGGGAGTAGGGGGAGCATTTGGGGAACATCTATCTCAGTTACAATTAGAACTAGTTATTTATACTATATCAAATTAATCTTGATAACTTTACATTAAATTCATTTTAAAGATAAAAGGCTGGTCATCCAGTAACTATGTATTTTAATTTGACAGACTATAATTCATAAATTACAATTAAGAGAGTTAAAGAACAGAGATCTTTAATTCTTCTGCCCAATTCCCAGAAGATATAGATAACATGTACACCTGCTAGATTAGAGATGCTCTAACAGCTTCCCATTTGAACTCATCAATTAATCTTTAACTGGATGCATGTCCACTCCTTACACCTAAGGGACAAATGGATTTACATTATCTGCTGTGTAATGCACCTTGAGTATGAGTACAAAATGACATTCATTTATGTCATTCTGTTCAAAACAAAGATTCTTTTTTTAAGAAGACAGGCGAACAAGGCGAGAGCAATGCCTAATATGTGACAAACATGAAGGTAAAAATTAAATCTCAATTATAACAAAATTTTCTTTGATATTTTATCTAACAATAAAGTATACTTTATGTAAAATTTCAGCAATTTGCAAAAATCTCACAAAGCTTGAAATTATTTGCTTATGAAATAGATACACACACTAAAGAGGGCAAAAAGTATCAATTTCGTGAGTGGGTCTTCGCTCCATATTTTTGAAAGTTTATCCTCAAAGTTTGCGTTAATATATACATTTTTTGGTTAACAAAAACATGAAGCAAAGACCCACTTTACCCTTAAAATACACTTTTATGACACAACATTCACATCTTTCCGAGAAAGTCCATTTAGTCAAGGGTCATATCACAAACATGATTTAAATGCCACCATACATCAGGAGCTGTTTAGCATAGTGGTTAGCATGTTAGTCTCAAAAGAAAATGATACTCAGGATTTTTATTGCTAGGGTTCGAACCCCACAAATACCACATTATTTTTTTAATAACAGAATAATTTTTGCCGTGAAAATTTTCCTCAGAAAAATTTTGTTTATCATAATATCATAAATTTCGATGATAAGAACTTTACTCTAAATACTATATTAACAAATTGATTATGATTTTTTATGTATCTGAAGCTTTAGGCATTCTGCGTGCCTTGTTCACCCATCTCCTTTGTTAAAAAGCTTTATATAATGATAAAAAAAGAACTGTGTAATCTTGATGCAACATTTTTTTAATAAGGTTACTGCATGACTCTTAGATTTATAGAGACTATTGACCAAAAAACCTTTTTTTTAATACTTGCTGATTTTTTTGAGTTTTAATGAGTAGTTTTAAGCTGCAATTCACATTTGTTACAAGATGTACAAATGGCAGTTCTAGATTCTATGTATCAAACCTATGTGATCCAAAAATGACAAAGTCAATAAACATAGGTAATCAGAGATTACAGAGCTCACCTCAATGAATGTTGCCTTTAAGTAAGGCAAAGTCCCACACTAAACTAATAATCTAGGAGTGTGCATCCCTAGATGCAACATTTATGCAATTTTGGTCTGATAGGGCTTGCAGTTACTTGGTAATAGACTTATCTGAAAACTTAAAACTAGTCACTCATCCAGAAAATGTAAGTCAAATCCAGCATCCGAAGCAAGTTTTGAGATTGTTCGTCCCTTGATGCATCATCCATGCAAGTTTTGATCAGATGGGCCTTATAGTTACTTGGAAATGAGATCTGCTCCAAAAATTTTAATCTGGTTACTCATCCGGAAAATGTAGGTCAGATCCAGCATCCGAAGCAAGTCCAGTAGTGTGCATCCTTAGATGTATCATCCATGCAAGTTTGGTCAATATAGGGCTTATAGTTACTTGGAAATGAGATCTGCTCCAAAAACCTTAACCTGGTCACTCATCCGGAAAATGTAGGTCAGATCCAGCATCCGAAGCAAGTTCAGTAGTGTGCATCCTTTGATGTATCATCCATGCAAGTTTGGTCAATATAGGGCTTATAGTTACTTGGAAATGAGATCTGCTCCAAAAACCTTAACCTGGTCACTCATCCAGAAAATGTAGGTCAGATCCAGCATCCGAAGCAAGTTCAGTAGTGTGCATCCTTAGATGTATCATCCATGCAAGTTTGGTCAATATAGGGCTTATAGTTACTTGGAAATGAGATCTGCTCCAAAAACCTTAACCTGGTCACTCATCCAGAAAATGTAGGTCAGATCCAGCATCCAAAGCAAGTTCAGTAGTGTGCATCCTTAGATGTATCATCCATGCAAGTTTGGTCAATATAGGGCTTATAGTTACTTGGAAATGAGACCTGCTCCAAAAACTTTAACCTGCTCCAAAAACTTTAACCTACTCCAAAAACATTAACCTGGTCATTCTTTAGCTGAAATTGCAGCATCTGAAACCTTGACTGGTACAATGAAACACACTAGAAGCATCCTCCATGCATCTCTGACTAATACAGGCCATAGAAGTACTTGAAAAGAAAAATGCTCCAAAAACCTTAACCTGGGACGCCGACGCCGACACCGACGCCAAAGCCGAGGGTATTACATAAGCTCCCCCAACTTCGTTGAGGTGAGCTAAAACTGAAAAAACACCTGTTAAATGCAGAAAAATTATCCAATCATTATGAAAATATCTGGTGCACACATTCATTTGGGTGAATAATGAGTGTACAAATTTTCAGACAAATCCATGCAATAGTCTCCGAGAACAGGTCCAAACAAAATCCCATCTACAGACAGATGGACAGACAGACAGACATGCTGATTCCAATATAACCCCCCGCCCAAACTTCGTTTTTTCGGGGTACAATAAAAACTAAATGACAAAATTTCTTCAATAGCCCTAACTGTAGGGTAACAGTATGTGCAGTGAGGATAGGCACATATTGTTGTATATGTTGAATATACATGTATATTATTTTAGCCAGTGACAATATACAATTATGGACTGTTTAGAAGTCCATAATAGTTTTATTATCCTAAAGAATCTGAATTTAGTAAAATAGAGTAGAAAATATCAGTCATACCTCTTGTGTTCTACTACCCACTGCTATGATTCCATACTTTTAAAATACAGTCAAACCTCGTTATCTCGAACTCAATGGACCAAGAAAAATCTTCAAGATATTTGAGGATTCGAGTTGTCTAGGGTAAAATGCTTAAAGAATAAGGGGTCAGGACTTCCAAATCACTTCGACATATCCATGGTATTTGAGATATCAGTGTTTGAGATACCGAAGTTCAACTGTATGTCAACAGACAACTTTGACATCACCCTTAGAATTAACTGTTAACAGATCCCACATATGTATCATCAGTGATTCATTTTGGTGTGCGTCCTGCGTAAATTACGCACAAATTTTGCTCAGGACGCATTATTTCAATAAATGTGCATCCCAATGGACGCAATAAATTTATATGTACTATTTTAAACTATTTCGGTATAATTTGATTCAAAACTTGACCGATTGCATCATATCCACGTGCTAAGTGATATGCTGCATGCATGAACGATTTCAACAGGTATAAGGTTGTCAACAACAGGTCAGATTTCACAATTGCAGTTAATAAGCGATTATCAGAAAATATTTGAAAGTTAGATAGCATAGCTCGATTATCACTGATTATACCATGGAACGTTTATGAAGTGAATACTATACCATGCTATGCCTTTGTATTTAAGCTGTAAGCTGTATCATTGGTTTTTTTTCGTTTTTTTTTTCCTTACAAGCTAACAAGTATAAAATTTAATCATTTTTATTTCTGACTATTTGTCATGTCTTTTTAAACTTTTTTTTTACTTCATTCTGCTTCTGTGCATTTTATGACTGATACAATTTGTGAGATCGTATGTACGATCTGAAAATAGAACCAAAGTGCCCAGTGGACAGTATATTATTTTTATGACACAAAATCATGTACTCTTACTTGGACAATTGATAGTAAAATTATTAATCACTCACAGCTACAATAAAACATTTGCACTTTTGTGCAATACCCTTTTATATTTCACCAGAATTTCCTCTGTAATATCTAATATATACGGTACTCTTGGATTTGGACGCATTGATTTTGGCACAGGACCCATTGTTGTCATTAAGAGGGGTCCTTTGGACCCATGATAACCATTTTCAAAATGAATCACTGTATCATTATTTACATTAGTTGTCACTTATGACAATTTATTTTCGTCTTAAGTAAGATAACACAGTTGTCACCCTGCAAGTTCACTTGGGCTATTTCATTGTCATCTGAAGGGAGACAACACAGTTGACACCCCACGCATTCCAGTTCATTATCAGATCTGCAGAGTTTTTGTGACATCATGAATTGTCTCCCTGCATGTGACATGCTCATGACCAATCAGATTGACTGTATCATTCTGAAGGATAATAACACCTATAATGGTGTTTGTTAGAATAGAGAGGACCAGAAACACTTGGATTGAAAAAGTGACAGAACAGTTACTTTTACACAAGGCTGTAATTAAATACCTACCATGTCCATAGAGGGCTGCACTATGCTCAATCATGGAAGCCTCATAAGAGTTTGACATGGCCAATCTGGTCTGGGAGACACTTTTTTCCGACCGTCTCCTCATGGGGACTGGCTTTGCCAGGTGCTGCCGGGAGGGGGTTCCTTCACTGGGGCTCCCTGATGGGGCAAGAAGCAAGACAATCATTCATTGGCTACCCAAGACTACCATGGAATGTAAATTTAAAGTTGTAGGAAGAGTTTTCAGGGTTTTTTTTCCTATTAATCCAGAGTTTTCTATCCATTAAAGGAAATTGTTTAAGTTTTTTATTTGGAAAAATTTTCATATCAGTGAACAAAATCACTGAAATTAAATTTTCATCAAGGCTTTACAAGATTATTTGTAATACATACTTGACCATGATAAACCTTCTTATATATAAATATATGTGGGGGAAAAAGAAAGTTTCTACACCATTTTGCATTCATTATTTATAATAGTTTATAACAATGCATGATAGCTTTAATTAAACAGCAGAATTTCACATTCCTGACAAAAATGCTTAAGGTCAGATGACATGTTGCTCGGTATCTGTTTTGAATCTCTTCGTAATATAAAACAATTTCAACATAATTATCATTATCTTGTGACTTTAAAACTATTTTTAAAATGTCAAAGTAGATGAAGACACCAAAAAAATGTGATATTGGCAATGCTGGTGATTTCTAATAGGATTCTAATAGCATTATATAGTAAATAACACCCTCTGGTATCTTGCACAAATGCTTGGTAAGGTACCTTAACTTTTTGTGAGGAAACTTATTTTTAAAGTAGCAATACTTCAATGACAAATTCTTGGAAAAAATTATATATTAATGAGGAACATGTCGTCTAACCTTAAGTATAAATATTATAAACTTCATTGTTGCACTGAGCAAGTGTCCTGCTAAGGGATACAGCAAAACTAAGTCATAGGAATTAGTCACTGAGACCTGAAATTTTACTTCCTTGTAACTCATATTCTTTATATCCATATAAAAAGAAAACAAAGTAAAAAGTTGTCAAGGGGATTCAAACAAGAGGCCCATGGGCCTCATCGCTCACCTGAGTAACATTGGCCTTGGTGTTTTTCAACTTATTTCCCCCCTTGTAATACCTATTGTGGCCCTGCCCTACCCCCAGGGGTCATAATTTGAACAATTTAGAATCTACACTACACCAGAATGCTTCCACATAAGTTTTAGCTTTTCTGGCCCAGTGGTTCTTGAGAAGAAGATTTTTAAAGATTTTTTTTCTACATATTTCAGTGTAAAACTGGGATTCCCTATTGTGGCCCCGCCCTACCCCTGGGGGTCATGATTTGAACAATTTAGAGTCTACACTACCGCAGGATGCTTCCACATAAGCTTCAGCTTTTATGTCCCCATGGTTCTCACCCTATTTTTGTCTTTTCTTGATTATCTCCCCTTGGAAGGGGGCTTGGCCCTTCATTTTAAGAATTTAAACTCTCCTTCACCCAAAGATGCTTTTTACCGGTTTGGTTAAAATTTGTGTGGTTCTTGAGAAGAAGTTGAAATTGTGAAAAGTTTACAGATGGACAGAGGGACAAGGTGATTCCTATATACCCCCCAAACTTTGTTTGTGGGGGGTATAAAAACAAGTCACTGCATGAAAAACTAAAAATATGTCCAAAGGACATGAATGCCCAGCCCAGGGTATATTAGTAATACAACATGAAAATTTGTATTAGTCTATGAAATTTCATGAGAATATCTTGAGAAGTTCCTTTAAAATTGAAATTGAAATCTAAAAAGTTGGATATAGATGATAAATTCTCACCAAATTATGTATAAGTGCATAAACTTACATAAATATATCTTAAATGGTTTTTTTAAATTAAGCAAAATGCAAATCTAAGAAAAGTGAGGTCAAGGTCACAGGAAAGTTCAAGGTCAAATAATGTTTTTGATGCAGTTGGATACTTCTCACAAATATGTAGCAGCATGCATATTTAATTGGGGGGGAGGGGGGTCCTGTCTATAAGTACCTTTGGAAATACATCAGAACAGAGATGTTTAAACATATAACTAAAACTAACATATCAGGAGAATTGGATTGTATCAAAGGAAAAATATAGCTAGTTTTTAGTCACTACTGTTCATCTGTACAGAAATTTGCCGATTAACTAATTGAGTAAAAGGCAAACAAACTTTCAAGAAAATTTATTTTGGGTCATACCTGTGATATGTACCGGCTGTACACAAAACGTCACGTATTTTTTACCACATTCACAGCCTCACGGCGGTACACCAAAATTCACTGGAAATGGAAATTTGTGCCGTATTTTGAATTGTTTACTGGAAACTGCCATTTTTCCTTAATTCTCACTCTCGCAGCACTGGAAATCTTTTTTGATGCGTGACTTACTGTGCTTGGTTAATGTAAACAAAACATCATGATCTAAGGTGTGAAATATTCCCACGATAATTACATCGTAATTAAAACGTATCAAAGCTTTTTGTTAGACAGAATATTTTTTCATAATACCCTTACTAAGGGGTTTTTCAACTGTAATTAGTTAAAATTTTGTCAGTAAGAAATTAAAGACGTTTGAAAGAGAAAACAACAATGTGTGACAGCAACACGAAATTTAATCCATGACTTTTTTTGCCCTGCTTAGACATTAGTATCATCCATTCAAACACAGAGTAAGAGAAATGCTTTTAGTATCATTAAAAATAAATACAGATGTCTGGAGACGATCAGACTCTGGCATTAAACACTGTAATATGGAAGTCTTTTACACTGTACTATGGAAGTCTTTTTACCAATTTCAGCATTGACCATGGGGATTGTTGAAGTTCTAAAAGCTGCAAAAGGCAAAAGTTTCTTGAAATGAACCTCTTTCATTGATTTTTTGGTCGATATTTTGTACAGTTTTTTGTACAGTTTTTTGATGAACAATGTACAGTATTTTCACCCAAATTCCAGTATTTTGAAGACTCCTGTACAGTATTTGGGCCTAAAAATTATCACATGTATGTTGGGTCTTTAGTACTGTATATACTCGCCTATAAGTCGGTCCGCCTATAAGTCGGTTGTATTCTTTTAACTTCAACTAGAGTGATTGACCCACTAAAATACCAATCATTTTATAACTCGCATATAAGTCGGATAAAGATTTTTGGACCAACGTTTGACTCCCAAAAAACCGACTTATAGGTGAATATATACAGCAGATTTAAAGTCGATCAGAGGTCTATTTTGGGTTAAAAGAAATATTTTATGTTGTCGTTATTCTGGGCACACGCGCGCACACATGCACGTGCACGCGTGTGTGTAGGGGGGGGGGGGTAGTAAAAATGTACAATAACTTTCTTGACTTTACATTTACGAGGGGCTTTTGAAAAGTTCTGAGAACTGCTTGCTAAAATATTAACCATTTCACAAAAGTTAGATTGATACCATTGAAAAGGGCTGGAAAATATGGATTACTATGAACGTCATTTTCTTATATTTATGACGTAATAACTCCTAAAATGACGTCAGAATCTTGAATAAGTAGCATACTGAAAAGTCGTGTTTTTTGTCCACATGAGAACATCGAAAAAGTGCTGTCAACGGCTTATTTGAAAAGATATTTCAAAGAAAATTTGCATGGAAGTAGAGTAAGACTATAAAAATGTTACGGTAAATCAGCAGTTCCATATTTTATTTTTTTGGTTGGTTAATAAGCACAGTAATGTTATCTTAGGCATTCATAAAAGATTTTTAATTATATCTGGATTTTCGGTCTTTTATACAGCTCTCCTCTGTATTAAACAAAACATATTCCGTATAAAACTGAAGTGTAATGATGCAGTTTTCCAAAAATGTTATCTTGAGTATCAGGACTCTTACCGTTTATGAATAAGATGTACAAAAGTCTTCCCCCGGACAAGTTTCTGTGCGTATTTTTTCATATTATTTCAACTTCGGCAATCCAAAACTCACTACAGCTTTTGACTTTCAACTCAAAAAAATAAATCTGGGTTTCATTGTCATGTACAATCTTATTTATTTTCCATGATTTAAAATTTTCAAACATATCGAGTTACGGTGGGGTTAGAACTACACTGGCGCCATTTTGTTTTTACGAAAAAATATTGGACATCCTTGGCTTAACCTCTATTGAGCTTTAATCGTTCCCACAAAATTGGTTAAAACACATGACGAATTAATGCCAGCAAATTCTGTAACACCGTCCACTATTTTCCTGTGATTGTAAACTTTGTGTTTTTCTCACAGCAGTGTCTTTTTTATCCAATATTTTGCACAAGATTCGATAATAACATGCTATGTTTGACACACTCTTAAACCACCTCAGAACTATAGGAGCTCCTGAATATAACCTCCATATGATTGAATGTAGTCTATATAAACATTCTCTCAACTGGTAGTTGTGTCCTTTGGCGAGCATCCGAGTAATGAACAAAAGTTGACTTTAAAATTTTACTTTACTGAAATTGTGTCTCTTGTTATGTCATTTTTATGGTCAGTATGCTAGACATTCGAGATTCTGACGTCATTTTTCGGAGTTATTACGTAAAAAAAAATACAAAATGATGTCACAATATGTGTATATTTTTCTGATCTGTCCAATGATATCAAATTCAGTAATTTCTGTTCAACGGTTAATATTTTATCAAACAGTTCTCAGAACTTTTCAAATGCCCCTCGTATTAGTTAACAGAATTTTATTTAAAACTGCATGTGAAAATAAGGCATTACTCAACAACAACAAAAATTATCGGAGAAAAACGACACTTATCAAAAACATACTTTTAATTAGTTGTTTAGAAAGAGAAAAAGGAACGCCGGTTTACTATAAATATACGAGGGGCATTTCAAAAGTTCTGGCAACTGGTATATAAAATTTTAACTACGTTACGGATTAAAACGACTCTGATACCACTGTAAAGCTTAGGCAAATATGCATTAGTAGTGACGTCATTTTACATTCAAAATGACATATAGGTCTGCTAAAATGACGTCATAATTAGGTATACTCTGTATACTGGGCGTAAAAATGACTGATAAGGAGAACAATCTTTTTTTGAGCAAAGAGCGTATTGCAAAATTTGCTCATTGCTTGGCTTTACGGCAACAGAAATAAAAGCTAATTTAGATGTAGTATACA